GACAGGGCGGTCGCGGCCGGGAGGGGGAGGGGCAAGTTAACTCCACAGCGGACGGGAGCACGAGGAGCCGACCCGGCCGCGCCTCCGCCCCGCCGCCCCCGGCGCGCAGGCGCGGCGTCCGCTCCTCTCGCGGCCCGCTGGGCGCGGGCCTTCCGCCTCGCAGCCTCCGGTGCCCGTCGTTTGGATTCTTTTTTTTTTCTGAGTCAGGGGTCTCACTCTGTCACCCAGGCCGGAGTGCAGTGGCACGATTACCGCTCGCCGCAGCCTGTCGACCTCTTGGGCTCAGGCGATCCTCCCACCGCAGCCTCCGGAGTAGCTGGGACTAGAGGCACGCACCACCACACCCGGCTCACTTTTTCCTTTTCCTTTTTCTTTTTTTTTTTTGTAGACGAGGTCTCGCTATGTTGCCCAGGATGGTCTCGAGCCCCTGAGGTCAAGCAATCCTCCCGACACAGCCTCCCAAAGTGCTGGGACTATAGGGGTGAGCCACCGCACCTAGCCTGGGTTTCTAAAAACACATAGAGGGCATGTGCTTTAATACGAAAGATAAGTTACCATTCACCTGTTAGATTGAGGGCGACGATTTAGAGAGAGAGAAGAATGCTTTCTAGGGACATCTCGGGCTTCCTTTTGACTTCTCCCATTGAAGGATGTAATTGTGACACACCGGCCTGGTTTGAATGCTACTTTGAAGAAACCAACTACTAAAAGCATTTCAGAGAATAAGGAAAATGTGAATCACTGACTAAATACTTAATGATATCCAGGAATTATTGTTACTACTTTAAGGTATGGTTTGTGTTGCTTTTACAAAGGAGATATGTGCAGAAATATTTATGGATAAAATGACACATTGGTGATTTGCTGTAAAATCATTCAGTAAATGGAGGTAAAGAGTGGGTGGGATTATGGACTAAACACGACTGGGATTCATGTACTTTTATACTTTGCATATAATTGAAATTTTCCTTAATAAAGAGTTTACTTGGCCAGGCTCAGGGGCTCAGCCAGTAATTCCAGCACTTTGGGAGGCCAAGGTGAGTGGACTGCCTGGGCCTGCGGGTTCGAGACCAGCCTGGGCAACCTGGAGAGACCTCGGCCCTACAATAAATACAAAATTAGCCAGGCATAGTAACGCACGCCTGTAGTTCCGGCTACCTGGAAGACTGAGGCGGAAGGATGGCTGGAGTTCAGCGGGTTGACACTGGGTGGCCGTGGCCTGCAGGCCACTGTACTCCAGCCTGGGGGACAGAGTGAGACCCCAACTCTAAATTAAAAAATAGATAGATAAAGTGAAATTCCAACTCTAAACAAATAAATAAGTAAATAAATAAATGTATGTTTACTTAAAGACCGGGCCCAGTGGCACACACCTGTAATCCCAGCACTTTGGGAAGCCAAGGGAGAAGGATTGTTTAAGCCCAGGAGTTCAAGACCAGCCTGGACAAATAGCAAGACCTTGTCGCTACAAAAAAAATTTAAAATTAGCTAGGTGCGGTGACTCACATCTGAAGTCCCAGCAACTTAGGAGGCTTGAGGCAGAAGGAGCGCCTGAGCCCAGGAAGTTGAGGCTGTGGTAAGGGCTGATCGTGCCACTGCACTCCAGCCTGGGCGACGGAGTCAGACCCTGACTCAAAAAAAGAATTTAAAAATCTGAAAACTCATTCAGTATATACCCCAACCTTTCCTCCCTGAGTGAGGGCAGGTAGATTCCACAGAGCAAACAGCTTTTGTTTCTCTGTTAAAATTCAAATTTCTCAGGGGTGGGGGGAGTTTGAGATTGGCAGTTGAGGGAAACTGCTAGGGGAGGGAAGGACATACCTCATCAACAAGGGTATCTGTATGATCAATGTTTGTATACCTAACTGAATTGTACCCCACATCTTTATCATTTAAAAAAATTCAAATTTCTCACTGAAGGCAATAGTGGAACTGATTAACTATTTCAAAGCAGACAAAACTGACAGGTAGGGGAGAAAGCATGCAGGACTCGAAGTCAGGACTCAAACAGCCTCTTTAAAGGAATAAGGGACAACTGTGTGACCCTTAGGCAGGTATCTTTTTCAAGTTGACCAAGCAACTTCTCAACTTGAAAAAGATACCTGCCTAAGACAACCTATAATTTCCCAAGCTACTTTGATCAACAGTTTTCCTTAACCAAGACATGCAAGCTAATAAATGAGTATTTATTATGTCTTACTAAGCCAAACCCAAAGGACATTTCTGACTGAGGAAACTACTGGTTTCCTCAAAAGTTACCCAAAGTTAACCCGGCACGTAATTGCCAATATTTGAATGCAGGTCTTTCTAACTCAAAGGTATGCCCTCCTTGCCCTGTGCTGGGGTGCTTATTCACTAATAGATTTTTGTTAATGTTCTATTAGTCCTACACTACATGCTTTAACAGCTTTAAATATCATTTATACAAACTGAAGAAATCAGTGTATTTATTTTTTTAATTAATTAATTTATTTTTTTGAGTTGCAGTCTCACTCTGTCGTCCAGACTGGAGTGCAGTGGCACACTCCCTGCCACCGCAGCCTCGACCTGCTGGTCTCTGGCGATCCTTCCACCTCAGCCTTCCAAGTAGCTGAAACTACAGGTGCGCACTACCATGCCCGGCTAATTTTTGATTTATTGTAGAGATGGGGTCTCGCCAAGATGCCCGGGCAGGTCTCGAACCCACAGACTCAGGCAATCCACTCACCTCGGCCTCCCAAAGCGCTAGGATTACAGGCTGAGCCACCGAGCCCAGCCAGTGTATTTATTTTACTCCTGTTACCTAGCAAAAGGACTTGCTGATTAATGTGCTAGACACTATGCTATGACACTGGGTTTTTGAGGGGGAAAAAAAGCTTTTCGCCAGGCATAGTGGCTCATATCTGTAATCCCAGTGATTTGGGAGGCTGAGGCAGGAGGATCACTTGAGTCCAAGAGTTTGAGACCAGCCTGGGCAACAGAGCAACACCCTGTCTCTACAAAAAATTTAAAAATTAGCTGGCATTAGCATGCACTGAAGTCCCGGCTATGTGGGAGGCTGAGGCAGGAGGATCACTAGAGCCCCGGAGTTCAAGGCAAAGCTTTTTACTGTAGGTCAACGAGACAAGAATTCAGCTCAAATCTGTCTCCCTATGTTGACCTTAAAGCAGTACTTTTATTAGAAAAGGTTTAGGAGGTGGATTTCGGGATTAGTAGGTGACCAGTGGGAAAAGAGGGGAAGTCTGGGAAGTCCTGATGATGAGTAGCATGGGGTGTATTGCTATGTGGGTCCTTAGATTTACTGCAGAAAAGAATTTCAGAGTGAGTCGCAGAAAGAGTCTTAAAGAGAGAATATAGGCACCTTAAGGGAAAGCACAAACTGGCTTGCTGTTAGAAGAGGGCTTTAAACATACATCCATTATGATGATTAAGCAACCTACTTCTAAGCTGAGCTTTGTGTGTTACATGGGCTATGTGACGGGTTACTAATTATTGATCGCTAGTTTCAGTTCTTTTAACTCCTAAGCTTACTTGTGTCATGAGGAACTTTTGAGATAATAAGAAAAGTTACTGTTCAGTTAAAACACTATTCCTCAGTGTCTCTGATAACACCTCACTGTCTTGTTTATGGTCTTTGTAGTCAACCACCCCACATTCCAAGGTTGGGTCTGGGGTTTGGTCAGTGTAGGTATCAAGAGAATTATGACCTAATCAGACAGCACCCAGATGCCTGACCATCTGGTTTCCTAATGATCCAAGCTATGTCTGCTTGTAAGAAACTCACCTCTCTCATATATAAGCTGTGCTAGCTGTCTTGCCTCACTAGGCATGCACAGATGTTTTTTCAT